CGGGGGGGGGGGGGGGGTGTCATCTGTATGCTTGCTTACTTTTTGTCTCTACTTGCATGCACATGCCCCAAGAAGTTACCAAGCTTCTTCAGCTTTGCCTAGCGCAGCTGCATTTAAGGATATTTAGCACTAAAGGTCATCGTTTCCTACCTCTGTCATTCTTCACCCCCAGAGACAGACGGATCCCAAACTGGGTGGAAGAATTGCTTGCTGCCAGTGGGAGCTAACCTCAATGGAGCAATGTCACTTGATGCTTGCTGAGGATCTGGTCAGTAATATATGAAGGGAAATACTGCATGCGTGCCAAGACCACTTGCCTGACAGCTCTTTTATGGTTTCTGTTCAATTTGCAATTAAGTCAAGAGCAGCGAGCCTTTAGTGAGCCAGTATTTCCCTGAGAAGTGACTTTTGCATACAGCTTGACAAACATTTCTGGCCAGAACAGTTTATTAAATATGATTTCTTCCACTGGGACATGCACTGCCATTTTTCTTAATTATTTCTATGAAAAAATAGCTTTGCGAAGTACATGCTCCAAGTTTATTTTATTATGTGCATGGCTAAATATTCCATCTTCAACTTTACACGCTAATTAAAAATTAAATATCATACACTGAAGACTTCTAATGACTGCAGACCATCTAATGTCAAGTATGGGAGCCAGTCATCAGCGCACTTTCGCCTTAAAAGATAACAGGTTCATGTTTATATGAGATTATCAAACGAAAGGGCCGGCTCTTCAAGTTTGATTGCTAATGCACAGGATGTTTATTCCCTAGAAATGCCAGAGATGGGAGTCAATTATAACTGCATTATCCACCAAAATGTATTTATGCACCTGCTTCTACTTTGATTCATGCAGTCCCACAAGCAAGCGTCACCTGAATGACTCACCGGACTGGGAGTCAGGCAGAGGGATGCTGCCAGCGGCCCTGCACCACCTCTGACGGGGGCTCTGCCCATACACACCGAGTCTGGCTTGCAATGCTAACATGCCTCTCCTAGGCCTTACACAGGGGCTACCAATTACGCAGTGGTTTCACCACCACGGGACCTGCCCCAGCTGCAGGCAGCTCGCTGCATTTGTGATTCAGGAGACTCTTTTAAAAACTCTGCCTCCATATGCGAACGGCACCAGCCAACAGACGCCAGCTTTCAAGTGC